AGCAACATAAATCTCAATTCCTGATTTGTTGCCCCAGTGATGGTAGAGTGATATTATATATTGCTAATGCTGAAATGCTTTCGCAGTGTTAAATATCAAGCCAAGAAATCTCTGGTTCTGAATAAAAGGAGGTCAGGACATTTTAAAATAAGATGGGAGATAGAAAATATGCCAGTTTCCCAAAGCAACAAACAGAAAAAGCTGCAAAAGGTTTTATTGATTTGTAGGCATTATTTTAAGAAGCCAAGTAAGTCTCAGTCAGGGACTAGAGAATTAGAAATCAGATAAAGCTTCCTGAAAATGAATTAGTCAAAACTGTAGCTCTCCTTCAGACTAGTTAACACCGGGAGCCAAATGTGATTTGGCTTCACCTGTTGTGCATGATTCAAAGCATGAAGTTGAATTTTTTTCTTTCTCCATGCATTCATTCATCTAACCAGGCTCATTATTTTTTCTTATTAATTACTGAAGTTGTTGTTTGAAACGTTTATTATTTCAACAACTGTCTTGTTTTTATCTTTTGTTAAGATTGCCATTTCACCTGATATTTTATTTAAAAAAAATTAAAACATTGCCGAATAGAAATACTGAAAGTAAAATAAGTGAGTCAATCCAGCTGTGTGGCTTGTTAGAGCTTAACATGATTTATAAATCTAGCCAGTTTTATCTGATGTAGAAATGTGAAAGCAAACCACAATTTATCATGCTGTGTTAACCTAGCCTAAGGAGGAAATTGAATTACTTTAAGAATTTTATCTTCCTTGGATCAAAAATTGTTCACGATGGCACTTCTACCCCTGAAGAAATCAAATGCAAGATAAACTTAGGTTGTACTGCAATGGTTAACAAGAATAAGATCTGGAAAAGCAGATATATCAATATTAATACAAAACAAAGGCAAGTTAGAACCATAGTCTTCCCTATAATGATGTATGGGTGTGAGAGTTGGACACTAAGAATGGCTGATTGAAGAAGAATTGATGCCTTTGAACTGTGGGGCTTGTGTGGATTATTGTGTATACCATGGACAGCCAGAACAACCAACAGAGAGGTGCTAAATCATATACAACCAGACAAATTACTAGAAGCCAAAATCACAAGCTTGTGTCCGATTTACTTAGGATGCAAACTCATTGGAGAAGTCCATGATGCTAGGAATTGTTAGTGGAACAAGAAGAAAGGGCAAGCAAAGAACATGCTGACTTGATAACATCAAAACTAACACGAAGATCTCGACAGGGGTAACATGCAGAGCCCTTGTCTATAAAATTGCCAAGAGTCAGACACAACTGAATAGTTGAAACAACAGTTAACTGAGCCAGTCTGTAAAGTTGTACTCCTTAAGATATACATACATGTTTCTCTATACTCATTATATTTTCAATGCAGTTAAGATCCACTGAACTCAATCGCATGCAGTGTTGGAAACCTTATCAATCTTGTCACATTGGTGGGCAGGGGGAGCAGTGGGGGAACAAATATATCATTGATTGCATAAAACAAAATAAACTGATCCAAAGGCCCAATTTCAGAGCTTTTACATAAATATCCATTAATACATTTCAGGCCCAATAGATTCTTCATGAAAAGTGCCTCACAATTCAATGCACTTCAACACAACCAATACAAGCTATGAAAAAGTTAACACTGTAAAACATCAATGACCTCTCAGAAACAACAGATTGTTACAACCAGGTGGCATCACCACAGCACCCAAACTAACTGTAGGCCTCCAAAACATTTTAAGTAAACCAGGAGACTCAGCAGCCCAAGAAGAAAAAAAACATGAATTATCTACAGGACTGTAACAGCCACTATAACAAGTGGCAGAAAACTAGCAGAGCAGATTCAATAAACATCAACAATGAGAAAGCAATGAAAAAGCCTTCACTTCACAATATATGGACTGAGGGAACCATAATTTACCTGGGAAACTAGACTAAGCTAAATCTAAAAACACTAGAGAATCCCTGGAAGCTTGGCATTCTAACAAATAAGCCATCAACAGGAAATAAACAACATTTAAACACCATTCAAAAGTGTATACACAAGAAAATTGAATAGGTTCATTCTATATTTAAAATTTCCAATCTTTGTTATACCTATCACCTTTTCTTAAATTTAAGAATCAAGAAAATAGCAATAGTTACAAAATTACTCTTCCGTTCTAATAAAAAAAAAATCCTTCCATTTCCAAAGATGGTGCAACCTTTTATGCAAATCCAGGTAGTAAATGTGTAATCACTGATGGCTCTGCTACAGCTGTAAAGCATGCATAACCTGTGTACTATTGAGATTGGTGATTCTGTAGTGAGATCAAATAGTCCTTTGGATGCTCGGTAATTTATCTGGGATGCAATACAAGTGCCAAAAGAGAAATATAAATGAAGATACTGGTACATAACTGTAAGAGATAATAAAAATATGATAAGTAATATGTAAACTGTAACTCAGTAATAGAACACAGCCTTTTAATATGTAAGTTTCTGGGACCTTCTCAGAACTGCTGGTCATCAGAGCAGGGTAGATGAACAGATTTTTGGCCTGACAGATTCAGCCTTTAGTGATTTAGAGAGTCAAAGAAATCATGCTGAAATTATCCCAGATATTCTCAATCCTAATTAGTTACTCTGTGACATGTTTGAATATTTGATTATTAGTAAAGTTTTTCTTCAGTTATGTATCTTACTTTATGATGGTTGGCTTTTACATCATGTCATTTGGAAGTTGCTCTGGCATAAGATGAACTATCAGTGCAAATGCCACTTGTTAAGTTATCCTTGAATGATTAAAACTCCCTGTTTTGGGAACATTAACAGTCACAAGCAGCTGTTAGCGTGTTATGGAAGAGGTTACTCTTGTGCAAATTATAGAGTGTTACTGATGCTTTTTAGAGAAAGAGATTAGTTTAGTTTATGTGTGGGATACAACTTGAGAAGACAGAAGAAAATGTGAAAACATGGCACTGTTTTGACACCGTTAATGAAGGCTAATAGAATAGCCTCTGCAACTTAGTTATTGTGGTTCCCAGGCTACCCCCACCCCCCACCTCTCCTTTGCTGAATTCTTTGCAACTTAGCTGTGAAAATTTGCACTCAGTTAGCACACAAGAGTTGGACTGCCTCTGGGGGGAAAAAGAAATTATAGCACATATTCTAAAAATAAACATGCAAACTCTGGACTAATTGAAGTGTCTTAGCACTTTAAATCTAGCCAAAAACAAAGAGTTATCTAAAAATACTGAATTAAAAGAATCTTTCTTTAAGGCTGCAGAAACATTGTACCTGTTCATAAAAAAAATGTTTTTTGCTCCTTCAGTGTTCTCAGCATCTCCAGTAATCAAGTTGATGTCTTTTCAAAATAAATATTGAAGAAGAGTTTTAAACAACAGCAAGATAAGTTTAGTTCAAGTATCCTTTCTAATCAGATACTAGTGGGAAGATGGAAAGCAACCAACCACTCAGTTTGTGATACATCCTCAAGTATGTAGGGACAAATGTTAGGGTGTACTGACACACTATTTCAAATGAATGGGGGCAGTAAATACATTTAGTTTTTTGCTTCCTCATTGTTGTGAAAAATGTTGAAACACTAAGTTGATTCCTGGGCTATCACAGAAATTATAGTTGTAAAAATAAGTCATAACTTTCAAGTATGTGCCTTGAAGGAAAGATTATCTTATCTTCAATGAAATGGTAAACACTTTTGCAACAATTTAGTAATAGTACTTCATAGTTTTGCTTTATCTTTCTTATTTATAGCATTGTTACACAATCAAGGTTTGAATTAGAGTATAACTGAAAGAAGACTTGAAAATTTGGGGGAAATTTTTTTAGCTAAGTTTGTGTTACATATTTTGATAATGAGGTTTTTTTTAAACCCTAGACCATGTGGTTTGCTAATACATAGATAAAAATCTCATCTATATGAGAAAAACAGACTAGAATATTTCATCACATCTATGAGATGAGAGTTCTCCAGTGTAAAAGATGCAAAGGAATGGGACCATGGCGAATGTCTCAGAAGGGACCATTTCTAACTTCTTGGCCCATAAATGTGAGAAGAGATGTACTTTCAGACTAGCACAATTCTGTTAGTGTAACCTAACATAACCTTCTGTTAATGTTACAACCTCTTTAGCACTAGGAGTTGAGCACAACTCAAAGGTGTCTTTGTTATAGTGAATTAAAGACATCTTTTCCCCATTTGTACAATATAGCCTACATTACAGGAGACAAGAATTGCATTCCAGGAAAATAAGGTAAAACATGATCTGGATTAAATATCCTGAAACAGTTTAGGAATTGGATAAATTAATGACTGACCTTTCCCACAAATTGCTGCTAATAATTAACATCATGATCAGAGACGTAGTTATGTGATTCACTAGAAAAGTTAGATTATTGGACAACAGTTGTTTTCAGGAGTTTTGTAATTATTGATCCTTTCTTAGCAAAGTGAGTTGGCTTCTCTTATTTATTTGTTTGAACTATTCCATCTCTAAGGGGTTCAATAATATGTGAAGTTTGTTCTTCAGTTTTTAACTGTGCTTCCACAGCTAAAGGGACTCTCCCTTCTGCTCTCTGATACAGCCCCTAACCCTAACCCCACCATGTCTCCGTGGTCACTTGGCTGGCATGACTAAATGCCAAAGGCACATGGAACGCTGTTACCTTCTCACCAAAGGTGGTTCCTATTTTTCTAGTTGCATTTTTACATGCTTTTAAACTGCTATGTTGGCAGAAGCTGGGACAAGTGATGGGGGTCACCCCATTACACAGCGCTAGGGATTCAAACTGCCGAACTGCTGACTTTTCTGATTGACAAGCTCAGGGTCTTTGCAACTGAACCACCACATCCATATGTTTCCTCTTTATATTATATATTAATAAACAAATTTATTGGGAAAGCCAACTTTTGCTTTGCTTTTAAAATGACAGTAAAATGTGGCTAATTTATAGCAAGTGCATTCTAATTATATTATATATATTTTTTCCTAGGTTCAGACATTGTTCAGTGGTTAACAAAGAATTTGTCGATAGAAGATCCAGGTAAATGCATCACTTTAATTTTATTATTATTATTATTATTATTATTATTATTATTATTATTATTATTATTATTATTATTATTATTTATTT